CGTTTTGGCGCTGGGCTTGTTGACGTGTTTTCGTTCGTGGAGGCGTGATGTCTTGGGTTTCGGGGTCGGATGATATGGATCTTGATGCTGAAGGTTGATGGTTGATGGCCGATGGCGTTGGCGGCGGCGGTGGCGGCGGCGGTGGCGGCGGCGGCGGCTGGCTCTTTGCTCTGTGCTCGGTGCTCATATTGGTTCTGTATTGGATCTGATGTAGGTTGTGGTCCCCCTGACCGTTGTTTTGTTGTTGGCTGGCTGGAGCATGTCTTTGTCTTCCTCGGATACGTCGTCTTGTGCAGCGTGGCGATGAGTTTCTCATCGCTCAGCGTCGCTTGGTCTGATGGCACGGCTCGCAGCATGCGAAGGCGTCTACTGACGAGGCCTCCTACTGCCGCGGCCTGGATGACCGACGGCCGCGCCTCTGAGGACGCGGCCACTCGTCGCTTGGTTTCGCTTGCGGAACGGCTGGAAAAACGCAGAATAGGTAACCCAGACGACTTGTTGGGATCAGAAATCAGATTACAGCATTGGCTCTACACCGGATGATGCCTTAAAAAAGAAGACACCTTGCGAAACCAGATCGAGTACTCGGCAAGTTGAGCGTTTTTTTTGCTGGTTGGAGGGAGGTTTGTGTTGACATACTACCGGTACATCACTGGACTTGCCGGTGCTCATTCGCCATACATTGCAAGGTCAGAAACGACTGGAGCAGGCGTGCAAATCACGTGAGGTGCGATGTATCACACAATGGAGGTCTTGAAGCAGCCATCGTTGAACGACGCCATTACATTGTACTAGTACAGTGGAACGTCTTATTGGCGGCGAGCGACAGGTGTGGATCCATGCGGACGGGCTGAACTTCGAACTTAGAGCGTACTGGTGACCTGCTGCGGGCTAGAAATCGCACACTTCTCGCAACCTCGTCAGCCCGCTGTCTGTTGACAGTTTTAATAGACTCCTGGGCAATTAGGCCTCGGTCCACTTTGAGCGATATTCCTATCGGAATGAATCCCTCCCGCAGAAAGCTCGTTGACTTGACGCTGGGCAAGCCAAAAAGGCGCCAGCTCATTCGTCCCGCAACAATGTCCCTTGATTGGCAGCTTATTTACGTAACCGCTATGAACGAGGGTCGCCGTCACTTTGCAGTCCAAAGACTGAAGACTATTTATTAATACAGAGACGAGCTAGATCGTTCTTCAACTGCATTGGGTCGTGACCACGCAAGTGGACGCTTGGTCATCTCTAGCCGCCAGGGGGCTGATAGACGCGCTCCTGGACACTCTTCTACAGTGCATTAAGTCTCAATCTAAACAAACGAAAGCACAGCCCTATTTGGTTCCCAAGCGTTCATTGATGCGGACGCATTGCGTGCGGCGCTTGCACTTGAAGTGCATCAACTTGCCACAATCACACACATTCTGATTTTGAGGGCCCCCACCCTCATACAAACGCCAAGTATTGGAAAGGCCATGATATATTGGGGGCCCCCTCAAATCCCCGGCTCGAGCGCCGGCCACTGAACGCGGAGTGGCATACGAGCGGTATAGCGAACGACGA